TTTCCTTCGCAAGGACTTATTTATTTATTATCTACTATATATAATGTATATATATCTTGCAAAGTACATACTAACAAAGTAACATGAAAACAATACATCAATTTCCCATAAACTATTTCTCTTAATTTGTAGGACTTTGTTCCTTTATCAGTTTTGGTACATTTACTTTGAGGATAAATAACGTATCAACATTAAAACACTTACATTCATCATAAAATCCATATATTCTGTTGATACTTGCACATTCATGGTTTCCACGTAAAAGGAAGAAATTCTCTGGGTATTTAATTTTGTAAGCAAGAAGTAAGCAAATCGTTTCCAAGGACTGTTTTCCTCTGTCTACATAATCGCCTAGAAACAGATAGTTGGATTCTGGTGGGAAGCCTCCATACTCAAACAATCGTAGTAGGTCTGTGTACTGTCCGTGGATATCACCTGTAAAGGAAAAGGAATGTTCCAATTCTGAGTACAAATCGTGTGTGTTTAAAATGATGATGACGGTCAAGCCATCGGTCTACAATTCTACAAGCTTGATGTGTTTGACTACAAGATTAAGAAAAAAGAAAATGTAGCATGTTTAATTCTTTTATCATTCTTACACCTCCTAGAATATAATATGCAACTACAAATTTAATAAAACATAACAATACAGCTTTTTTCATTTACCAGATTAAAACAAAAACAAGCTTTTAAAATCCTATTGAGAATAGTCAGATTTCAGTCCCAAAATCATTGTTAATATATCAGAACAATTTCCATATATCAGGACTATTATTTATGAAATGAGTTTAATTCATAATTTGAAATTAAACCTACATTTTTAGAAGTTTCATAAATGTCATTATGAATATAACATTACCAGGATTTGTCTAACATTTTGTTGGAAACAATCAAAAGTTGAAGTCGTCGACTGTCTCCAGGTATTATAAGTGACAATGGGATATCTTGGCTGTGATACTATGAACTAGAAAACCTCTGTAAGACAAAGTGAAGTGCAGATATTGGGACCCTGAAATATAACTTGTCCGAGGCATTATCATGCTTGACCTTTACAATACATATTTTTTGATGAAAAATTATTCAGAAATTAACTCATTTGAGCGGTGACAATGAATCATGAAGGGATCGGAAGGACATGGGTAACACTTTATGTCTAACCCCCTCTGTTTTACTGGGAGGGGGCATAAACATCACTTAAAACCCCCTGTTTTACTGGAAGGGGGCACAAGCATCACTCAAAAATACACACCACATATTTTCAATGGTGCCTCCAGCTCCAGTAAGATAGGCTGACTGAGGAAGATCTCTCGTGACTTCAAGCACAATCCTCTCACTTCCGCCTCTGTCATCTGAACAGTCTTTCCTGGTCTGCATCCTCGAACTGCATAAGAAATATACATCAAAGGACTTTTTAGACTTAATTGCTTGCATATATCAGGAATTATTATGAAAATACCAAAAGAGTATCTTGAATGAATTTCCATTCAGTGTTGTTGTGGTTTTTAAGCCTCCATGAGATTCTATTTGATATATACTCAACCAAAGAGGTTCAATTGTGATAGTCAATTTCAGTTTTTAAACTAACAACTCTAATTAATCATGATTTTCTGTTATTTCAGATTATGGTTCGACTATAGCATGACTACTTTCAGGAGGTTATTAAGATTTGGAGTAGACATATGATAGCAGATTAAAAAAAGAATTTTACCCAATACCAGATACTGCATAAAACATTTCTGGAAAAATATATGAATATATAAACCACTCTCTATCTATTTCAAGATATATAGATCATTTGAGAAATTCTGATTATCAATCAATGACAATCATGAATTTGAAGGGATCCCGAACACAGTAGGCCTACATCAGTTTGACAGCACTGAACGGATGCGTTTTCCAAAAATAGATATGATGAGCTGCAACTGTAAACAAACTTTTGAGCTAGGTCTGATGAAATATGTATGGCATTTCTGGAATAGTTATACATTTATAAATGATATCGTAAATGAACGAACAGTTTATCTTTACAAAATAACCCACTGGATCATAGTGTTGTCAACAACAAAATGCATTTCGAGGCGGGACGAAAGAAACAGGAAGAAAAAGTGCCCAAGTGTATAAAACATAGAGTATTATCATAATATACATTTTTGCTACGTAAGCTGCAGTGGAACAGTTCTTTGAAGCATACGAAATTATATGTTAATCGTCGTATGTTCTCCTGAACGAGAAACTACCTTCCAAAAGGCGCGATATCAAGCTATCGACATTCAGCTCGGTCTCCGCCATCTTGATTATTTCTCGTGACGTCATCAATCTTACTCAACCATGATGACCTCGAAAGATATTTTCGGGGGCTTCTCGTCATGTACATATTTAGAAAGTAACAATTAAACAGATATCACGCTTTATAATAAAATGAAATTCACATTGTATAGTATTTAATCACCCTATTCCAACTTTCACTGTTTTGGTATATTGCAGAGTAGACTACGTAACGTTATACATTGATGCGGCTGGAACGGTTTACGTAGCACAATGCCTTATACGTATATCGGGCCACAGGTCTGACCCTTTTTTTATCGAACAGGGCCGTCTAAGAACGAAATGGAGCTCGTTATATCTTCAACACGCACAGAATGTTGTTCTTTAAACCGAATGAAAAATGTGTAATACGACCATTTATTTTAATCAAATGGCAAATGATTTTTTAGTAACATACCAAACTGTAACAAAAAATATCAACCGCATTGATAAACTTCAAACACTTCCATCCATTCTGCCATGTACCTTAAGTCAATGGTGCTGATGTGATTGTTTCTTGTGCAACACGGCGTCTAATTATGGAATATAAATTGATGTTATTAGTACACTGGTATAACTTTGATCAAACATAGATATAGATCTAGGTTCTATCCCCGTAAAGTTAATTAAAGAATTACGTTGATAAAGAGCGGGGTCGGGTACTACTCTAAACAATAATGAGTGGCTTATATATAAAAAACTGAAGTTGAGACCCTCAAAAATAATAGTCAAATTGATAGTGCAAAAGACAACGGTCGTTTTCTGAAGCGGAACGTGGAAGTTGTAAGGAGTAATTTAGTCAACCATCACCCTTAAAATCACTCAGATACCAAAAATATGACTCATGACGAAACTAGTATAGCGGGGTTCGAGTCGTTCTACACGTCTCTGGTATAATAATCCACAATCCGTACAGATTTTAACTCATTATTAACATAATTGTTGGTAAGAATGTGAATAAATTGTGATATTAAACAAAAAGTGATGACCATGCTAAAATAACCATGCATAGACAAAATCGATTTATGTAAACGCCGTAAACGTCTGGATAAGATAATGGATTCGCATTCCTACCTGTTAGTATTTCCTTGTTTAAGTGCACGTTGCATGGCGCGTAACTTTCGCATATTTACACATTTAGCTTAAACCAATTAAAGCAGTATCTGAACGTGTAAAATACGAACGCATTTTTTGTTCTTAAACGCAATAGTTTATTTCGTGTTTTTTTTTACATGAATGGCTTTTCGTAGTGTGTGAACAATTCCAACAATTTAACTGTATATTGATAGAACACGTGGTCCACCCTATCGTTGGTTCCGATTCAAACGATATGACATTTGTCCATCCTTGCCACAAGTATATAAATGGAAACTTTCTGCAATGTTTAATTCCCGATGTATGATTAAAGTTTCAAAATACGATTTCCGATTCAGTTTCTCTAGTCTTCATATACCGATATTTCCATTTCATTCCATTGTACTCTATATGTGACCATTGTAATGTATATCCTATTCTGATATATATCATTAAAAAATACCCGACTTTTTGTTATCCACGGGGCTATGAACGCAATTTGTTCGATGTCAAGTTTACACTTCTCCACACGCCTCGCATTATACCATATATATGTTACCATCGTAAAAAAGTATTTTGATAACGTTAGGCTGTTCCAGGAATATCGTTTACGTTGACGATACAGAAACTTTAATACCGCCAATATTTGGATAAGTTGATCACCAATAAGTAAACATTCAGAATAATAATTCCAGCGTGAACGCAACTCAGTGGACTCCATACGAAAACAAAGACAGATCACAATCTCTTTCCTTGATAGGAGCGTTAAATTTGAATCGAAATCTAATCTTTTAATTTTCTTGAACCGTTGTCCGAAAAAAAGAAGTGTGCACTGTTTTACTGGTTGATGGTTGGTTCTTCAACCGCCAACAAAAAGTAAAAGTAGGAGACACAAACATGTTTCACCAGTATATATAACAACACGCTGTAATGGTTGTAACAGATGTTATGTTAGTTATTGGGATGATAACCAGATGGACTTGGGTAATTCACACTTAGATGATGTAACATAAGCAGATATTGATCTGGTAAACAAAAACAGATCGAGACTCGCAAAACACGACCAGGATGGCCGTTATCCGTAATGCGCTATCCACGTATAGCTACATATTGATGTATTGTCGGTAACCGATGCATTGTCAGGGATGTTCTTTGGTGTCGTAAAGACGGCATGATCTGGCTTCGGGATCATGAACCGGACCTAAGTCTAAGTCTTGCCTTTATTTCCAGTTCTTAGGCTTAAGTCTGTTCTATGATCATCTTATGCTCTTTTCTTCTTGGTTTGGTTGGTTTGCCTGGTAACTTTTTTGTTGTTGCATTCCCTATAAGATAAGTCATTTATCAAAGGTTATAACATGTTGTTTTCAAGCTGTTCCCGCCATAGGTTACCGTTTCTACTCAGG